TTCATATTTCTTTGGGTGCTCTGTCTGTGGCGCGCTATGACAAACACCTTATATAACGAGATTAAAACGCATGTGGCAAACTGTACAGAAGTATAGTAGAATTAAATCGCGTTAAAGACAGAGCGCCTAATCTAGTATAAAAAACAAGTAAAACTGTTTTATTAAGAAATGGATGTGAGTATTTAAAGGCGCGTTGAGTAAAACGACGTTTCTGTTGATTCTTTTATGTGACTGTGTTATCTTGAATTGAATTTCCTGACCTTACCTGTTAGATCCACTGTACGATTGTTCTCGTAGAATTCCCTCGAATGTCGATGCTTTAAACCTAATCTAAGAATGTTGGATAACGTGTACTATACATGTATGTATTATCAAACCCGAACTTGAATTTTATTGATATTTCATTTTATACTTGTACATTTTGACTTTTCACAGAGTAGGAGCGTGCCATGCTGTGCTGCCCGACCACTCTTAAAAGTTTTCTATTCTCAAGTGGGATTTTTCTTTTGACTTTCTATTAAAAAATTTAGAACGAAGGGTACCTTAAGACTAACCCTTAAGAATCAAAGACCTTAATCCAGTAGAAAAATATGAGAAAATTTTCCACTAGTATTCTGAAGTGAGTCATATCCAATTATTTTACGAGACACGACGCTTCCGCGAATTGACTTTTGGTGTCAGGGTGCATTGTGAGAGTGAGTTCGAAAGAAAACTCATTCGCGGAAGAGTCGGGTATTTATTTAATGGCAACATGAGGGACAATGAAAATTTCCTATAGCATGTTATCGGTCCGCTGGTGCACAAAGAATTACTAAAATCGTAATTTTCAAGCAGTGACGTTAAGAAGCTATGAAATCAGTTTTATTTAAAGGCGTCAGCAAAGTAGTCTATCGACATTATTTAACCTACACTGTAAAATAATCTGAATATTTTAACGACACGAATTCGATTCATCGAGAGACACTTAAAATGACTCTTTGAACAACGCGTTAGAAACGCTTTCAGAAGACATTTACAAAGAGATGTTATTTAGCCATCTGAATGGAACTCAATAAGACTTAGCGCATTTCACATGGACCGTTCTTTAGCGAAATTCGTCTTTCGCCGTCATCTTCTCTCAACTTTTGATCGCTTTTACTCTTTTGGATTTTTTCGCTTCTATTGCTGTGGTTCCTAATATATTTTAAATATATTATTCTATGCCTTTCTTCTCTCTTCCATAAAACGTGACTGCATCCACAACAACATCCAACATTTTTTATTGCTTATTACCTCACTAGCTTTACCCTTAGCGTAGTTTTTCAAATAAAGCGTGTGAGACCAGTATTTCGTATACTGGGAACATGAGAAATAGCAGTATGCCGGCTTTTGGGTATATAAAATAGCATCCTCGAAGAATCGCTGAAACACTTTCGAGCCCATATTTGCAATGATGGCGACATTGAAACATCCAAAGTAGAGATATCTCTGGTCCGCTTTTTCAGTTTACCATGCGGGAATTTACCGTTCAGAGCTATGTTCACCTTTTTTTAGCGCTTGTTCAAAAAATTACGTGCAAGTCTGTCGGTCAATCGAATTGAACACTCACTTGACTTAATTGTAAATGATTAAAATTTGTTTGTAAATCGTCAGTGCCACTTGAAACACAATCCACATTATTTTTATTGAAAACGAATGGCCATGTACATAAATGACAATAACGATAATTAATATCCCGAAAACAAATAATGTTACAATTTAATTTATTTCGTCAATACTCATTATTATTTACAAAATTAGGTGGCATTATAAACGATGTAGATTCAGAATATCGAAATCGTAAATAAAAATTAAATTGAATTAAATTTTTTGGTAATAAATATTGCCCAAAACGTTGACTAATATCATTAATATATTCATTTAAATAACCAATATATAATGATAAATGTTTTAATGTTGTTAAGTTTTGAATTAATATTTCAATCAAATAATAATCATTAATTGTAGTTAGTTT